AATCTCATTTGTTTTTGTTTTTGTTTTTACTTATGAAAATAGTAAGCTATCACCAACCTGGATAGGCTTCATCACTAAATTAGCAGAAACCAGCTCAGCACAAACTCTCCCGAGATAAACACTGGTGGCTCAGTTAGGAGGAAAAGATGATGAAAAAATCCCAACCTCTCCTCAAAAAAAATTTCCTTTAAAGGAGAAGGCGCTACATGAGTAACCAGTCAATACTGTGCCACAGGCCACTGCATGTGAAAGGAGAGGGAGGGAGGACAGAAGGAGGGAGGGAGGATTGAAGGAAGGAGGGAGGGAGGAAGGGCCGGCCAGGCAGGAGGAGCGGACTCTGCCCATGGCTTCCAGGTCTCTGTACCAGGTGCCTATGAAGGGCAGTGCTGCTCCAGCCCTAGGGCTGAAGGAGGGCCAGACAGAGCTAGCCAGTAGGGTCAGCTAGTGCAAGTAGTCATCAACTCTGGCAAAGGAGCAAGATCCTAGGCCTGCTCGGGCCATAAGCCGTAGACATTCAGATGCCTGGCCCAAGGCGAGCATCAGAGGAGGCTGCTTTGGCAGATTCTGAGACTCTGTGGAGGAGATACAAGGTCTGGTCAATGCCTAGTCAAGGGCTTGCAAGGGCCCAGGTCAGAGTTCCCTAGGGGTGGAAGGTAGGGTTGGGGAAATGGACAGAGTATTTTGGAACAGTGTTCAAGTGTCTGTTTTGAGTGTTCCAGCCACCAGGCTATGGCCCTGAAGTCATGATTAGGAACCCGAGGACCCTACCAGGAAGCAGTAGGCTAACCTAGGCCCATGGCTATGAACTTGCAGTCAACTAAGCTGGGCAGAGTGAGGGTTAGTGTTAGGTTCAACCCTGGAAGCCCAAGAGCCCTGTGATTCATCAAAGAGGGCCTATACCAATCTTGATGCCAATCCTAGGGAGAGAGTAAAAGGTCACCCAAACACTCACAGGTTAGCTTTTGCTTTTATTAGGTTTACTCACCTAAAATGGCGCTGTTGAGAGCAGCACACACAGGCTCCCTCTGGATGGGGTCAAGCTGCTGGCCAACAGGGCAGCTCCAGGGATCTGAGTACGCTAGAAGGCTAAAGGCATCCTGAGAGACAAAACACTCTTGAGAGGAATGTAGCACATACTATTCACAACCCTATAGATCCAGAGGGGAACAAAGCCCTGCATGGTGCCCACTGTGAGTTTAATATACGTGGACTATAGGGTCAGGCAAGGCTATACCCTTTCTCTTTCCACTGCAGATACGAGTAGAGCAAATTCTGCCCTATTGCTACTGTCCCTAGATGATCCCAGAGCCAACCTGCCCCAGCATCAAATGGGGAACTGCTCTGTGTGAGGGCCTGGCTTATCCTATACCTGCAACATCTCCGTGTGGGCCAAATTCTTGCCGTACTCACGGCCCAGCTGCTCACTCAGTGCCTGTAACTCTCGGCCAAACAGGATGATCCTTTCTGTGGCAGCCTGGTTGCCTCCGCAGAGCTGCCGCCGGGGATGCCCGTCATCTACATCCAGAGGCCAGCAGAGAATACATTAGAGAGGTGAAGAGGGAAGGGCAGGAAGGACCCTGTGAAGCTACAACTTCTGCCAAAGGCAGGCAGGGGCTAGAAGAGCAGGTAGAACAGGTGAAGCAGCTAGAAGAAAGCTGTTCCAAGTCCACCTAGCTTACAGACCGGAGGCAGGACAGGACTTGGAAACTTCCTTCTTGCCACCCTGCACAACTGTGTGGTGCCATGAGGGCCCCCATTCTTGAATTCCCTCCAGCCTTAAATGAAGGGGTTCTGGTCTTGGCAGCAGGCCTGAGCCCTCCTACACATTGGAAGCCACCTCAAGGATGCATCTATGAATGATTGAGAAAGTGGTAAACTTGGTCTGGCTGGAGCTTCTCAAGCTGCCAAAGCTTACCATTTCAGACCCTCCTAGGGGAAAGTAGGCATCAGGATGCCTACTGTATGCTGCCTTCTCAGGGAACATAAGGCTGTGTCATACTGAGAAATGGTACATACCCATGCTGGACTCATCTGTCTGCAGATCCTCACGCTTGTAGGCACCATTGACAATACGTGTGGATATGCTTTCCAGCACACCATTGGGATAATGTTCTGCCTCCATCTCCATTTCGCTGTCACTGCGGAGAAGGGTTGAGATGGGAGTTGCACCTCCATTCGAGGTGCAACTATTTAGCTGCTATTGCTTCAGGTAAACTAAGCTGCCAGGAGCATGAAAGGATACCCCAAGCTTCCCAAGGCTGCAAGATTTAGCCCCTACTATAATTACCCCACAAGCCTGTTACCTGATTCCCATTCTTGTCCCAAAGCTGCCTCTTGTGACTCTCCCTGGCTTCCTCTGAGCTGATGTTGTTCTTCAATTTATCCCCCTCATCTCCACTGACTGAACAGATTGGGAATCTCTGTGGCCTTGGCAGGGAGCCAAACCTAGGTCAGCTTTTAGGCATGCCTAAAACCTGTTGAAAGCCATCTGGAGCTGCAGCCTACAGTCTAGGTCACCTGCCTGTCAACCTGGCTGTTAGGAACCAGATCCTGTACAAACTCCTTCATTGTAGACCCTTGAGGTGCTAACAGGCCCAGCCTTCTTGGAGAAGGGAGTCTCTTTGGAGACCACATTCTGGGTCTGGCAGTCAGCACCTCTAGAGAAAACCAGAGCCAAGGAAACTGGCAGCTAAATCTTGAGTAGGGACAAAAGCCAGAGCTAGCACCTAGCCTAACTGGTCAACAGGTAGTAATCCAGGCACAGACCTATAGTGGAGGTGAGGGTTCAAAAGAACAGATTGCCCAGCAGTGGGCGCAGCAGGTGCAGAGCAGAGTGGAGGGAGCGGAGCAAGACAGGCACCTGGTCTCCTGGTTACTGGTACTGCTGTGGGGCTGGGACTTGGTGGAGTCTGTTGAGTTGGACTCGGAGTAATTGACGGAGGACGGGGAAGAGGAGGACGAGGAGGACGAGGAGGAGGAGGAGCTGGGTGCGGGGTATTTACTGTGGTTCTGTTTGCTCTTGGTGGATGCGACGCCATTGCTGCAGCTGGGACTGTCTGCTCCTAGAAGCCAGGATGGTCAGAGGAGGGGTAGCTTGCCATCAAGTGGGGCCCCAGGGATTGCCACAGCGGTTCCTTTCCCTTCCCTCCCAATCCAGCAGCTGGCTCTAGGCCCAGTGTAGGGGAAGATATGTGGGGGGGTGATTCTTCTCCACATCAGCTCTTCCCAGAGCCCTCTGGAGAATGGCTGACCTGTGTTGTGCATGTGGGAACTACTGGGGCCATGTCGGGGGCTGAGGCTAGGAGAGCCAGGGTAGCTGTCCTGGGACTTGGGGCTTTGGGAGCTCAAGCTGCGGACCTCACTGTCGGTGCCATTCACCATCTCCACAAACTGTCGGCACCTGTGGAGGGAACAGAGCATCAGAGCTCTGGGCCTGGCCAGGGCTGTAGGTTTCTGCCACCAGCTGAGAGGCCAGGCTCTGGGACTGTTAGCCTGACTTACTTGAGCATGAAGAGCAGATTGGGGTTGTGTTCCAGCAACCCAGGGTAGAAGCGCTGGGTTGTCTCAATGGCTTCACCCACTCGGCCCTCCAGCACCAGCTTCTGGATTTCTGTAAAGAACATGGCTGTGAGTCAGGGCCGCAGAGCATCCCCCCAACCCTGCCCCATCTACGTGCCTGGAAAATGGCCAATCTCAAGGCAGGGGTCAACCAGGACTTAAGTGGGTTGGCTCATAGAACCCTACTGACTGAAGAAGCTCAGGGAAGGGGCTAAAGAGAGAACCTGGTTCCCCAGGCCCATAGCAGAGGCTGGTTTTGGTCACATGTCAGGGAGTCCTCAAGAATAAAAGGGGGGAATAATGAAGAGAATACATAGGAGTGGAGTCTGTAGGCCTGCTCGTGCAGGGCACAGGTGGCCAGGGACCTGTGGATGATAGGCCCTGGCTGTATGAGCAGAATCTTGGGATGGGCTCCCAGGAAGCAGATAGCCTGAGAGGACCTCTTTAGACAGAATGCTCTCTCTCCAGGCCTCATAGAGGCATGCACTGGTTTGGGCTAGGGCTCACATCCTGACAATCTGCAGATGCTATAGTGTGCTCCCTACTGGGAGAGGAGGTCATCCACCTCACACTGGCACCTCTGATAATGGTACCTCTCTGGCCACCAGCATCTTGTGCTGCCTTCTCACTCTTGCCCTGGGGCCCGATATGTCTTGCTATGAGTAACTTTTGGGTCTGAGGCTCTCTTATTTGTAGACCCCAAGTCTAGGATAGGATACCTTTTTATCTGTATGGCTGAGCAGTCTTTCCAGGAGACACAGACACATGCATACACACAGAGATCACAGGCTCAGAAGTCACATGCACACACATATACACCCTCTCCTCTCCTCCTATCTTACACTGTGTGTGCTCTGTTCTCTATCCCACCCCTCCGTCCCTTAAAGGATCTCACACACAGTACGTAGGCAGTATGAATGCCAGAAGAGCTGCCTTTGGTCAAAGAAGTACTAGATTGTCTGCAAAGGGCAGGACTAGAGGTGGGGAGCAGAGAGATACCAACACAACAGCCACAGTATCAACTTCACCCTGTCTGAGTACTGAGTTCTCTCTCTGGCTAGGAATAAACAGAATTACTAAACTTGAGTGAGTGGTGGGAAAGGCATGGTTGTGGTATGGTAAAGCACACTCTTTTTGGAAGATCATGAACAGGAAGCCTAGTGAAATCAAGGATTCAGGATACAGGGGAAGGAGACAAGCATGGAGGAACAAGATTCAGTCACACCAGGACCAGGCCTGCGCCTGACTTTCAGAAGGTGTTAAGGATGCTGCTCTGACACGTTCCCTGGCCATCAACTATCCATTTGGCAGTGCTATCTTGAAGAAAGGACAAGAGCATGGCCTAGGGCTGGCTTGGGGTGGCAGGCTCATTTGCGGAGTGGTGGGGGCAGGGAGGACCAGGCTGGAATGGACTCTTGACAGGTCATCCAGGACTGGCATGAGCTACAGAGCTAGGGACAGGTGAGAAGGTAGGGGAAGAGAAGGATTAACCTTACTTTGTCTGTTCTTTATGGACGCCTGTTCTTCCTGAATCGGGGTTTCAGTCATTCGGGAAAAAGCAGTGGCTGTGGCACAATACCCATGATGCACCAGGTAAGATGAGACCATGCTAGAAAAAATGAAGAGCTTAAGGTAACACTCAAGAACCACATTTCTCATTGAGCACTTGAGAGGGAAAGACTATATTCCCATGAGGTCTCCCCTAAACATACCTTGGAGGTATGACCTCCAAAGAACTGAAGGGGCTGGAAGGAAATGAAAACTTCCCTCAGTGCTCATGCTGTCAGTAGGAGGGGGGCTGGTCACACCTGTGTACACAACTCAGAGGAGTGGTTGCAGTTCTCTGGGATATGTTGCCCTCAAGCTCATAGAAGTGGACTGCAGCAAGTTCAGACCTGGTCAATGGACTTACCCAGGGCTACCTAAAAGGGCAACTGGCCAGGTAGTGTGGCAGCTGCCCAGAGGTTGCCTTTCACATGCATATCTGCCTGAACTACAAAATTTACATAGTGGAAAAGGCAGGGTGGTCCTCTGGGCTGCCTACGTCTTTCCCCAGCGAGCCTGCCATTTGGTACACTGGCTCTAGAATGGTAAGAGCTAATCAATGTGCTAAAAATTACTCCAGGATACACCATACATCAGGGGTCTAAGACTTCAAGATATCAGGCTGATTTTTGCTGGGAAGAGACAGGCACAGCAGGGCCAGCAGGAGCACAATCTCTGGGAAAGGCTATGACACCTAAAAACCATTTAACTCCATCTAAACTTGGCTGAGCAGTGCCACATGTGTGCATATGTATGCACATGTAGAAAGATGAGCACTCATGCCCTATATAGATAGGAATATAGGCATATGTTCCAAAGCTGTGCCACTTGGGCTGTTTGTCTTATGTTTTAAGTAGTAAGTGAGACAATACAAATAAGATTAGCTCTGCATGAAGTAAAAAGTAATAAACACAACCTCTAATTATGAAATTACATATTATATAATTTTTTTTTTTTTTTGGTCTTTTTGAGACAGGGTCTCTCTGTAGCCCCAGCCGTCCTGGAACTCACTATGTAGACCAGGCTGGCCTTGAACTCACAGAGATTCTCCTGCCTCTCCCTCCCTAGTGCTGGGATTAAAGGCGTACGCCACCATGCCTGGCTTTTTTGTCTTTTTTGTGACAGGGTCTCCCTGCAGCCTCAGCTGGCCTGGAACTTGCTATGGAGACCGGGCTGGCCTCAAACTCACAGAGATCCACCTGCCTCTAACTCCCATGTGCTGGGATTAAAGGCGTGTACCACCATGCCTTTTTAAAAATGCCTTTTTTTAAAAAATATTTTCATCCTAAAAGGTTTTAGGATTACCTCTTCAGAGTGGGGAATGTTAAGAGTATGAAAAGCCCCATAGAAAAAGAAGGAAGAGAAGGAAGAGGAGGAGGAGGAGGAGGAGGAAGGAGGAGGAGGAAGGAAGGAAGGAGGAAGGAAGGAAGGAAGGAAGGAGGAAGGAAGGAAGGAAGGAAGGAGAGAAGGAAGGAAGGAAGGAAGGAAGGAAGGAAGAGAGAGAGATGAAATTGTCAAAAAGAGTGATAGGGAGATATGGGAGGAGTTGGAGGGGAGGGAGTAGGCGTGGATTTGATCAAAACACCTTATATGCATGTATGATATAATTTCAATAAATTTTTTTTAAGTTAAAAAAAATTTTTTATTTTATGTGTATTGCCTGCATGTAAGTGCACCCATGTTGTATAATGCCTGGGAAGGTCAGAAGAGTGTCAGATTCCCCTGGAACTGGAGTTATAGACAGTTGTTAGGTGCCATGTGGGTTCTGGGATTTGAACCTGGATCCTCTGTAAGAACAACCAGTACTCTTAATTGCTGAGCCATCTCTCCAGGCCATCATACTCTTGAATCATACTCTTGAATAATTATAATAAGAGCCATCATACTCTTGAATAATTACAACTATTATTATTATAAAGAGTAACATATTTTGAAAAAAACATGATTCAAATGAGCCCATTTGAACATCAGATGTCTCTAAAATGTAGTTTCTCTGACTTAAGAATTCTACTTCTTTTTTGTTGATTACTTTTTGACAGGGTCTCCCTAGTCACAGCCTGCCTAGAAGTCTCAAAGTGAACTAGGGTGGCCTCGATCTCATAGAGATCCACCTGCCTCTGCCTCTTGAGGGTTGGGATTAAAGCCTTCCCCGGCATAGGAATTCTACTTCTTTTTATTTATTTATTTTGGTCTTTTTGAGATAGGGTCTGGCCTGGATTTCACTATGGAGACCAAGCTGGCCTCGGAACTCACAGAGATCAGCCTGCCTTTGCCTCCCAAGTGCTGGGACTAAGGGCGTGCACCACCAGGACTGGAGGAATTCTACTTCTTCTTTTTTTTTTTTTTAATTTTTATTTTATGTGTATGCATGTATTGCCTGCATGTAGGTAAGTGGACCCATGGACCCATGTCGTGCAAAGCCCACAGAGGACAGAAGAGTCTGTTGGATCCCCTGGAACAGACAGTTACAGACAGTTGTTAGCTGCCATGTAGGTGCTGGGGTTTGAACTCGGGTCTTCTGCAAGAACAGTCTTAACCCCTGAGCCATCTCTCCAGCCCCAGAATTCTACTTCTTAAAAGTACACTAATAGCAGGGCGTGGTGGTGCACGCCTTTAATCCCAGCACTTGGGAGGCAGAGGCAGGCGGATCTCTGTGAGTTCGAGGCCAGCCTGGTCTACATAGGGAGTTCCAGGTCAGCTGGGGACAGGGAAACATTGATGAAAAAAAGAAAAAAAATATATATATATACTAATAAAGTAATTTTATATATAGAAATCTCTTTATATATGAAAGGATTATCTGTACCAGCAAAAGAAATAAAGGCTGGGTAGAGGCTAGGCATATAGGTCAGAGAAAGTGAGAGTGAAAGTGAGAGAGCGAGAGTCAGAGTGAGAAAGAGAGAAAGAGAGAAGGGAAAGGGGGGAAGAAGAGGAGGAGGAGCAGATGGAGGAAAAGTAGGAGGAGCAGGAAGAGCAGAAGGAGGAGGAGTAAGAACTGGACAAAGAGGAGGAAGAGGAGGAGGAGGAACAGGAGGAGCAGGGAGCAGAAGGAGCAGGAGGAACAGGAGGAGGGAGGAATACTTGAGCCCCACCAAGGGAAGCCAGCCAGACAAGGAACTTGTGGCAAATTTGTCTCCAAAATAACTTAGCTATGTGAAGTAACAGAATACAGATTATATGCAGGTCTTGGCAAATCCTGTATAGAACACATACAGGTACATGGATACACACATGTAACAAAAACATCCATGTGCTGAGTTCAGGCCCTAAAAGTAACTCCACCACTCCTCTTGGCCATCCAGCAAGCCTACTGTGGGTAGTGGTACCTCAAGGAAGCAATTTTCACTTGCTAGCTGGGAACCAAAGTCATACTGTTCTTTCCAGGAAAGATCTGGTTATATCTCTGCCTCGGTCCTTCCTTAGCGATGCCTCAGTATCAATCTCTCAAGAATCAAGAGAGGAAGGCTGAATTCTGGGGATGTGGCTCAGTGGTAGTGCTTGCCTACATGCATAAAACCCTGAGTTCAATTTCTAGTACCATGAGTGAAAGAGAAAGGGAGGGAGGGGAAAGGAGAGGGAGAGGTGGAGGGAGGGAGGGAGGGGGAAGGGGAAAGGAAGGAGGGGGTGAGAGAGAGAGAGCACAAGCAGGGGGAAGATTAGACAGAAAATTCAGTGTATACTCCAACCCTACCCCAGGCCCCCTGGTCTCTGCAGAACGACTAGGGTTAGCAGAAGCCAAGCCCTTCCCTAGTCCTGAGAGCCAAGCTAATGCCCATCAGCCTAACAGTGTGTGAGTACTAGTCATTGCCTCACCCAGGCCTGCAGTTGGCCAATGAAAGAAAGATCCAAACCTGGGCTCCTGTGGGAGTCTCAGCAACACTGACTTCTAGGACAGTCTGGAAATTAATCAGTCAAGGAGCCTGTTAAGCTGGTCCTACAGAAGACTCTCTCTCTGCTATCACTCTGCTATGGAAACAAGAATACTTAGCTGGATACTGACCCTGTAAAGTGACCTCAAGTCAGAGTCTGGTAAGTTGGATTCTTATGGTAGAAAAAATGTTCACAGAGAAAGAAGCCACAGGGGATTCTAGAACTTCTACAAACTAGCCCAGGGGAGGAACAGCTGTGCTGGTTATCTTCTACACAGGAGCCTTCTGAACTAGCTGAGGGACAAAGGTTTAATAATGAGCAGCTCCAGAACACAGAGGGAGCTATCCACTTGTGAGAGGGGGAAGCAGCGGCAACTGAATCACTTGCCAGAAGCATCCCCTGGAATTGTAGGCAGCAGCTTTCAGCGTAGTCTATAGACCATAAGGCCTGGGGGTGACACTCACTTCTGCAGCACCGCCTGCCACTCTCCAAGCTGGGTGGTGATGGGAAAGCCATGGACAGTGCCCTGGACTTTGGCACGCCACTCCCGCATGTAATCCTCAATGTCGAACAGGAAGGGCTGCTGCCCAAAGTTGGCGTCCACAATTTCCCCAGGTGTCTGCAGGCCTACGGTTGGGTAGAGGTTGGCCTGAGGAGGAGAATGAATGTCAGTCAGGCTCCTGAAGGCAGCAGGGCCTCTCTTCACCTCCATGGTTCCTAGCAGCCAATACTAGGGCTGGAAGGGAGTTTCAGAGGCAGCAGGGATAAATCACATTCTATCCACCTCCCTACCAGAGAAACTATACCCAAAAGCTCAAAGGGAGAAGCAAAATAAAAGCAAGCAAGACCCAATATTTCCATCTTGTGTCCCCAAGGCCCAAGAGCCCCTTGTGAAACTCAGCCAGGGCATACAGTGGCAGGCAGGGCTGCACAAGCCTACATGTATGTGTACTCATAAAAAAATGTATTAAAGGGGTAGATAATGGCTCCTCTCAGAAAGAGATCTGGGGCTAAGGATCCCTTGTCCACCCAAAAGAGGTTTATGTAGGGATGGGACGACACAGGAGAGGAGGAACATGGAGGAGAGCAGGCAAAGGATTCAGTGAGCTGCATTCTGGAGCATGAGATAGAGAGAAGCTACCACTCTTCCTGTCAGAGGCCTAGTCAGCAGAGGACCTATGGCTAGTGACATATGGAGCCCTCTGCTTTTCATACACACCCCACCCCCATGACCAGTTTTGTCAGGCCTTATCAATGCCTCCTGTGGCTCCTAATGCCAATGCCCAAAGTCTTACCCACCTCTTTCCATAATTCCCTCCCCATACCACTGTACACCATATTTCTAGGAACTACTTTGCCCCCACCCTTTTTTCTTTTTTTTTGAGAAAGAGTCTCATGTAACCTAGTTAGGCTTAAACTCACTACACAGTTGAGGATGGCCTTGAACTGATCACCCTGTCTCCACCTCACAAGTGCTGGGATCATAGACAGGTACCACCACCTCTGGCTTCCTGTTCCCCTTTCACCTTCCATCCTTATGCTATGGGTCATTCACCAGTACCACATGTCTTCCTGGTCACACTGGGTTCAGCCCACCATGAGCTCTAAATGTACAGACCCCTTGCTTCCTTTCTTTTCTTCCCATCCTTCATACTATAGGTAAAGCCCATCTCATCTAGCAATCTTTCCTGAAAGTCACTACCCACACTCACATCTGTTCATTCATGTCATGTCTCCAACACCTAGATGCTTCCCCGACCAGAGTCAGAATTCTTGTAAATCTGCTCTTTGCCCAGGGCCATACGCCCTTTCTGGGGCCTCCAGGTAAGAAGGAAGGATTCTGAGCCATAGACAGGAAATTCAAACATGACTATGGGTATTACAGTTCAGATTCAGAGGCCCCTCAGATCACAAGGACATTTCCTGAGGCATTGTGGGATACCTAGGATGCTAAAGTAGCCACCGTAGTTAGTATACTTTCCTCTGTTCCAGAGCCAGCCAGAGTACACACAATCAAGCTTGGCTAATAGCATTTTGAGTAGAAGCCCTTCATGTGACAAGGCCTGAAATGATTTAGTAAAGTAATGGGGTACAGGATGTAGGGGTGAGCCCTAAACTAAGCTCACAGAAAACCTAATTCCTTCTTTAAAATTATTTATTACTTTTATTTATGGGTATGAGTATACTGCCTGCATGTGTGTAAGTGCACCTGTGTCGTGCAATGCCCAAAGAGGTCAGAAGACAGCATCAGATATCCTGGAATTGGAGTTACAGACAGTTGTTAGCCACCATGAGAGTACTGAATTGAACTCAGGAATTGAACCCAGGTTTTTGCAAGAGCTGTCAGTGCTCTTAACTGTTGAGCCATCTCTCCAACCAAATGATCCTTTTTTTTTTTTTTCCTTCTTTGTCGTTTTGAGACAGGGTCTCCCTATAGCCCCAGTTGGCCTGGAACTTACTATGTAGACCAGGCTGGCCTCAAACTCACAGAGATCCACCTGCCTGTGCCTCCCAAGTGTTGGGATTAAGGGTGAGAAAGTCTTAGAAAATTCATTTCCTAGACTCAAAGGAAATGGCAGTATTCTCCAAGGCTGCTGGATTTCCTCAGGGATCTCTAATGGTCATATACAAGGACCAGATTCCTAACAGTTCCAGGAACAATTTCCTATACTCCACATCCTGGTCCACTGGTTGGAAGTCATAGGAAGTTGACTCAGGCTGGGTGTGGTGGCAACATGCCTTTAATCCCAGCATTTGGGAGGCAGAGGCAGGAGTATCTTCCTGAGTGAGGCCAGCCTGGTTTACATAGTGAGTTCCAGGCCAGCTGGGCCTGTAGGGAGACCCTATCTCAAAAAGAAAAAAGAAAAAAAAAAAGTCATAGGAAGTTGACTCAGATCAGCCTGTGCCATGGAGTTACCCTCATTCTACCACCATCCTAACACCCCTACCCCCCTTGACTGCCTTAGAAAATGTCACAAATTTCTGTCACCTACAAAGAGCTGTAGAGGAAGACCGGCCCTTGCTGCTGAAGAGAGAGGAAGGCCAGCAGGTAACCCCTACTGGTACCCTCAAGCTGACAGCACAGCACACATCCCTGCTTGGGGAAAGGGCCCAACTCTACACCCTGCACTTGCAGATACCACCATGCCCCATCCCAGGCCACCCTCAAATAGCTCAGGAGAGGGAAGACCCACTACTAGTACTTACCGGGAGATCTGTGAAGGCTATTCCTGTGGAGAGGAAAGGAACAATGATCAGGCTATTACACAGGGCTGGCTGGCCCCTTGGTCTGTTGTGCCTCTGTGAACCCACGGTGGAAATGGTAACAAAGCATGTACTAGGGCCTAGGCCCTCCCTTTGCCAGAAGGGAAATCAGGGCCTTAGGTAATTGTCCAAAGCTTTCCTACTATCTCAAAGGAAGTTTTCTAGGAAGAACTAAACCTAAGTGATCTATCTCCGGAGGCTTTCTCTTGATCCAACACGTTTATAAAATTCTATTGCATGCCTTCAACTCTTTGTCATCCATTTCCTGATCCATTCCTCATACCAATTCTTGGGAGAAAGCATTCTTTTACCATTATACAGACCATTTTGTTCACCAAAATGTTGGTATTGGGGGGGGGGGAGTCTACACACATTCCCACATTCCTTGTCTAGAGTCTAACACTCTGAGCTGATAGAGAAATGGAGACCCTCAGAGGATGACTGCTGTTCATCTCTAGACCATGCTAGTTCCAAGGCCTCAGCAGTTCCTTATTATCAAAGCTCTGGTTGACAATGGCCTGTGTACCCTCCAAATCCTCCTGCCAAGAGAGAGGAATGCATCTCCAGAAACCTCAGCTTTGAGCCACAGGGAAGGCTGAGGCCATGGGACCCAAAACATATGAGTAGACCTGAGCCATATCCTCAGAAGAGAGGCCTCAGATCATGAAGTGCCAAAGGAACCTTTCCCAAGGCCTCACAGACATCTTTTTTTTTGGCCTTTTTTGAGACAGGGTCTCCCTGTAGCCTCAGATGTCCTGGAACTCACTATGTAGACCAGGCTGGCCTTGAACTCACAGAGATCCGCCTGCCTCTGCTTCCTTTGCTGGGATTAAAGGCATGTACCACCACGTCCGGCAGATGTCTTTTTTGTGTTTATTTTTATTTAAAAAAATTTTTTATGTGTATGAGTATATTTCTTGCATGTATCTAAGTGCACCCATGTCATGCAGTGCCCCCAGAGGTCAGAAGACAGCATCAGATCCCCTGGAACTGGAGTTATGGATGGTTCTTAGTCATCCTGTGCGTGCTGGGAATTGAACCGGGGTCCTCTGTAAGAGCAGCCAGTACCTATAACCACTGAGCCATTCTAGCCCCACAGATGTCTTTTTAAAGATAAAGTCTTTCATCTTCTGGGAGCCCTTCAGCTTTTGGCCATAGAGATTTTCAAACTACTGACTCCCTGGATGTCCCAAGGAACTTCTTGAACCCTTATTCAGAAAAGAAACAGAAATTCAACATGACAATACAGGTGAGATCTGACAACAGCTTTGGAAGGGTGTACACTGTTTCTGACACTAGTTTGTAGATGAAAAATCAAGGTGTTGGCTAGGCATGGTGGCACACACGTTTTTAATCCCAGCAAGTAGGAGGCAGAAGCAGAGGGATCTCTGTGAGTTTGAGGTGAGCCTGTTCTACATAGAGCACTAGAGCTATATAACTGAGACAAATAACTGTTGTCAAAAAACAACAAAAACAGCAAGCAACAACAAAAAAAGAAAAAAAAAGTGTAGCGAGATGGCACATTTTTTGCAGTTACTTTGCTCCTCAGTCATTGACTGAAGTCATAAACAACCTGCCTGAGGCCACTTCTGAGCCTCATGTGTTGGGTCAGAGTCACAGACTCAGAGGCCCCTCTGTACACTGTAGTCTGCTGGGGAGCTGCCCTCATAGATTTCTCAGAGCAGCTAAGATGGTGCTCACTCCTGGGCTCAGGGAGAAGCCCACAGGACTCTGGAAGAAGGGGGAGTTCAACTCTATCAGTTATCTGACATGTGACCTTTGGCAATGTACCCAACCTCTGAGTTACCTGAAGGATGGGGTGATACTAATCCTTTACCTCAAAAAAGAAAAGACAATGAGATCGTCAGTGAAAGCTGCTTCACAAACTGTAAGGTCCAGGTGCAAGTTAGCTATAGTTGGCCCACAGGGTGAGGCAACTGCCACATTTCTGGACAGCTGACGTACCCAGGCCTGCCCAAACTCTGCCTCAAAATGGCACTCAGACAGGATGAAGTGCTTCCAAGACAGTGAGAACAGAAACTAACCCCCCCACACACACACATACACACACTGTACTGTACAAGGCAATACTGTTCCCCATGCTGCAGGGCCCTGTGAACCTCAGCAAGGCCATTGTGGCAGTAAGAGCTGAGCTGATCTACATGAAGAAAGGCCAAGCAAAGATCCAGGATGCACATTGGATAGCCAGACTTGCTGGTAAGAACCCTGGGCCAAACAAGGTTTGGAGGTCCTGAGGCTGAGGACTAAAAACCTTTAAGAAAGTACAGAGCTGTGTGAAGATGCCCCTGCAAGTACACAGACCACCTATGAATCAGATAGTAGTCTTCTATCTCCATTTACTCATTTATTCATTTACCACAAACAGGACTGGGGAAACAATTGTAAGCCAGCTGGCCCCCAAAGTGCCCCTGAATCCAGCAAGAGGAATGGCATATGACTAATAATGACAGAGATACCCAGTGATGGCACATAAGACTGACTGCTATGACAGAGGGAAAGAGCAGGGAGGTCAGAGGCAGGAAATATCACTCTATTCTCTAAAGGGGACAAGATTTGAGTTTGAAGCACATTATTATTAGCATGTGACATGGACAGGAACATGGAAAGATTCACCAAGTAGCTATCACCCTAACTTCATGAAATTTCACAATCTAGAAAATGCAGGGCACAGGCCTTATTTTTCAGGAAGGTCTCATTAATATACTTGTGGACAAGATATCAAAACATGAGCTTCAAGCTAACGTAGCTGATTTTTTTGTTGTTCCGGTGTTAGGGATGGAAGTCAAGGCCCTGAACATGCTAAGCAAGTGTTCTACCACTGAGATGTAGCTTTTTTTTTTTTTAATATTTTATTAGTTTATTTTATGTGTACGAGTGCATTGCCTGCATGTATGTGAGTGCGCCCGTGTCATGCAATGCCTCGTCAGAAGAGGGCTTCAGATTCTCCTGGAACTGGAGTTAAGGACGGTTCATAGCTGCCATGTGGGTGCTGGGAATTGAACCCGGGTCCTCTGCAAGAGCAGTCAGTGCTCTTAACTGCCAAGCCATCTCTCCAGCCTGGTATCTTGTCTTTTTTTAAAAAAATAAGAGCTCGCCGGGCGTGGTGGCGCACGCCTTTAATCCCAGCATTCAGGAGGCAGAGGCAGGCGGATCTCTGGGAGTTCAAGGCCAGTCTGGTCTACACAGGGAGTTCCAGGTCAGCTGGGGCTACAGGGAGACCCTGTCTCAAAAAGACCAAAAAAAAAAAAAGAGCTGTCTTATTACTTATTTATATTTGGGCAGCGTTTTTTTTGAGACAGTAGCCCCAGCCTGGAACTTGCTATGTAGACCAGGCTGACCTCAAGCTCACAGAGAATTGCCTGCCTCTGCCTGCTGAGTGCTGGAATTACTGATGTGTGCCACCATGCCTGACATGTTTTTTTTCTAAGATAGATTTTGTTAAGATGCCCAAGCTAGCCCTGAAATTGTGATCCCCTTGCCTCAGCCTTGCAAATGACTGGGATTACAGCCTATGCCACCAGGCCCAGTTTAACACAACTGATTCTTTCTTTTGGGCTTTCTGATTGAACCTAGGGTGTTGAAGATTCTAGGCAAGTGCTCTACTATGAACCTCATGATTCGTTTTTAAATCGCTAGTGTCTGCCTGTATAGCTCAGCTATACACTGAAGGGCTCAAATCTTGGTCTTTTACTCTTCCATTATTTTAATAAAAGAGCTTCATTCTTATGTTCATCATATTTGGGTTAGCAGAAGACTGAAATGAACACCAAAGACTGAGAAACATTAAGACTGCAGAATGCTTTAAGAGGCTATAAAAAGACCTGAACATGGTGGCACATACCTTTAATGCCAGCACTTGGGAGGCAGAGGCAAGCGAATCTATGTGAGATTGAGGCCAGCCTGGTCTACATAATATGTTCCAAGCCAGCTGAAGCTACAGGGAGACCCTGTCTCAATAAGACATTGGAAAAAAAAAAAAAAACACAAAAAAACCTTAAAGGGCTAGAGAGATGACTCAGTGGTTAAGAACACTGGCTGTTCTTGCAGAAAACCTGGGTTCGAATCCCAGCACCCACATGGCAGCTAACAACTGTCCATAACTCCAGTTCCAGGGGCTCCAACAGTCTCTCTGTCCTCTGCGGACATTGCATGACACAGGTGTACTTATCTATATGCAGGCAATACATGTGTACACATAAAATAAAAATAATAAATAAAATATTTTAAAAATTAAAAAATAGCGCATGGTCATGTACTACCACATATTTATTTACAATACATATAAGGTTTTGCATACAGTCTGTAAAAAGCAGTCATTAGGCAGATGAATACGAAAAATGTCCTGGCCAGCAAAGAAATCGTGGTCCTTTGGTGGTCCTGGCACACATTAGCACCTAGAGAAAGTACTAAATATACAGGCACTGTAGGTATAACACAGTATTCTCCAAATCTTATGTTCCCATAGCAGATACCATGCTAAAAGGTAGACAAGCTGGAGGGATGTGAAGGGTAGGTACCTGCAAAGGGTAGAACTGAGCCTGGCTGCAGAGAGGCAGGTAAAAGGATATGCAATGGGAGTGTACAATAATGGCCCTTGGGACTCTGGCAGCAGAGGAACCCAGCACTAGGAAATAGCTAGAGTCAGATAATAGCAAAGAAACCTCTTGAGACTGCCCTGCATCTATGAGCTTCTCACCAGCTGGACACTAGCAACAGCAACTAGGTGACTGTCAGACTTGGGGGAGTCTCTCTAGATGTGTACTCAGGGACGCTCTGCATCTGTGCCATGCTCTCAGTCACCCAGCTTCCCATCATTTCCTGCTTGCTCTGGGCCATGTGTGCAAACAAACTACCCTGCTAAAGAATGCTGGCTCTTAGTTGTTCATCTCCAGTCTAAAGCAAATCTGTTCCCCTCAGGTCTCCTGATTCTGGGTGGCTCATGTGAAAAAGCCACACAGGGGTTGTGAGGAACAGCAGCCAAATTTTTATTGCTCCAAAAGCCAGCAGAAGCAAGTTGCCCAGCTCCCATTCCCGCAAAGCCTGGTGGCCTGGCTAGTAGGGGGCTGCCAGTCCTCTCTTTGTTTTACCATTCTAGGAGAAGTAGGGTGTGGTTTTATCAGAGACCCCTGCAAGGCAGGCAAAACCAGCAGTTGGCACAATCTTGGGGCCAGTGTGGCCATATACCACTCAGCACATAGTAGGACAAGGTACTACTAGAATAGCCAAAGTCCCTCTCTCAAGTTTTTTTATGTTTTTAAATTAATTATTATTTAGTGTGTATATGTGTTCATGTGTATGAGGGATATGCATATTCCATGGCACATGTGTGGAGGTCAGAGGATAAGGGGTGTCCATCTTTCCCTTCTACCTTGTCTAGGGCAGGGCCTCTGTTGCTAACTGCTGTGTATGCCCAGTTAGCTGGCCCTTAAGTTTTCAGGGATTCACCTCTCTACCTTCCATCTCCTGTAGGAGCACATCTGGGATTAAAGACATGAGCTACCATGCCTGGATTTTACATGAGTTCTGGGAAATGAATTCAGGGGCTTACGCTTGCTCAGCAAGTGCTTTATCCACCGAGCCATCTTCCCAGCCATATATGCTTGTTTTCTAAGATAGATCTTATTGCACAGCTGGGTGGCTTGGAATTTGCTATATAGCCCAGGCTGGCCTTTAACTCATAGAAATTATCTTCTCTCAGCCTCCTGAGTGCTGGGATAATCAACTATGCCACCATGCCTGCCTCCCCCTTTCTTTTTTTTTGGGGGGGGGGTGTTTAAAAATTTTTTTTGTTTTTATTTTATGTGCATGAATGTTTTGCCTGCATATATGTAAGTGTACTCACATCGTACAATACTGGGGAAAGCCAAAAGAAGGTATCAGAACCCCTGGAACTGAAGTTACAGATGATTGTTAGCTACCATATAGGTGCTGAGAATCAAACCTGAGTCCTCTAGAAGAGCAGCCAGCACTCAACTGCTGAGCCATCTCTCCAGCCCCTCTCTTTTGTTTTTATGGTGCTCTTATAGTCTAGGCTGGTCTCAAATTCACTCTATAGCTGGGGATGGCCTTGAATTCCTGATCTTCCTGCCCCTACCACTCTATCACTGGGATTACAAACATTACCACCATGTCCAGCTCAAGTTTTATTATTACTTATTTTATTTTTATGTGTATGCTTGCATGAGTTTTTGTGCACCATTGTGTGTGCAGTAGTCCATGGAAGCCAGAAGAGAACACTGGATTCCTTCGAACTTGAGATACAGATGGTTAAAAGTCATGGGACTGAAGAGATGGCTCAGCAGTTAACAACACTGGCTGTTCCTGCAGAAGACCCAGATTTGAATCCCAGCACCTACATGGCAGCTAACAACTGTCCGTAACTCCAGTTCCAAGGGATCCGATAGTGTCTTCTGTCCTCCATGGGCACTGCATGACACGGGTGCACTTACCTACATGTAGGCAATGCACACATACACATAAAAATAACAATAAATAAAATTTTGTTTGTTTTTTTTGTTTTGTTTTTTGTCTTTTTGAGACAGAGTCTCCTTGTAGCCCCAGCTGTCCTGGAATTCACTATGTAGACCAGGCTGGCCTCAAACTCACAAAGATCTGCCTGCCTCTGCCTCCCAAGTGCTGGGATTAAAGGCGTGCACCACCACACCTGGCTTTAAAATATTTTTTTTAAAAATCAGTCACCACATGGGTGCTGGAAACTGAACCTGGGTCCTATGCAAGAGCGGTAAGTACTCTTATCTTCTGAGCTATCTTTCTAACCTCCCAGGTTCAACTTCTAATGTTAAGTTTCTATATGTGTATAGCTCCTTCCAGAACCCTTCAGACCTTTAACTTCTCAATTGCTATCCTCCTTCACCACTTGGTTAACTAGTCCAGCCTCTTCCTCATCTTTCTTTCTTTTTTTTGGTCTTTTTGAGACAGGGTCTCCCAGTAGCTCCAGCTGGCCTGGAACTCACTATGTACTCCAGGCTGGCCTGGAACTCAACAGAGATCCACCTGCCTCTATATCCTGTGTGCTGGGTTTAAAGGTGTGCACCACCATGCCCCGCTTCATGTTTCCTTCTTGGGAATGCACCCCATCTATCCTGATGGACCTCTATCAGGTCTAATCCCCATTTCTCACACCCATCGCCATAGACTTAGCCTCAGGATACCTGCCTCTTCTTCTAGTCTTTTCACCAATCCATCCTTCCATCTCTCTGGATTTTACCCAAGACTTTTTCACTGTAACTCTGCCAGGCTTGCTGCACATTAACTATGAATAGGCCTGAGTTCTGTACCCATCTGACTCCTTCTTGTTTACCTTCTGTCCTACAACCCCCACTGCTGTTGCTCCACAGCAAGCAGCACCCCAACTATCAGAAGGACTGGCCAAAGTCTGGGTCAGGTCATGGACATGCAAACCCTAACCACTAAGAACTATACTCGGAGCCCTCAAACTTCCTCTGTGTACAACAGATAAGACAAACCAAGACCATGATCAGAACAATGCTGCATTCTCAGCACTCACCCTGGGCTTAATAAATGCTGCTGAATGGACAGGTTAACAACAGACATGCCCCGGTTGCCTTTCATAACCTTAAAGGGCTCCAATGGCTTCAAATGACTATAGCTCCCCAGAGCTCTGCAGAGGCTTCATAATACTTCCTTGACTTCAAGGTCTACCCTTGAGCTTCTCACCAACAGAAGTAGCTCCACAGGGCAGACACCCCCCTCCCCAAGGCTTCCTATGCACCTACCAAGGCTGTGGCCATTCTTGGTGTAGAAGCAGGTGCCATTGATGAGGTTGACACAACAGCCAATCACGTCCCCTGTGGTGAATGTGGGACCATAAGGCTGGCCAGTTCCCGAGGAGCAGAAGGAATGCCCATCATCGCCATGGTAACCATAGGAATGCTTGTCCCAACCTGTGGGAAGAGAGCAGCAATAGCTGACAATATGTACTTGAAAGAAGCCTCCAAAGGGCTGAGCATGGTGGCCCATGCCTTTAATTCCAGCACTCAGGAGGCAGAGGTAGGTGGATTTCTCTGAGTTTGAGGCTAGTCTGGTCTACAAAGCAAGTCAGGCCAGCCAGCGCTACACTGTGAGACTCTGTCTTTAAAAAAATAAAATAAAAAGCACCCAAAGGTCTCAACTATACTCCAGTCCTGCCTCCCATCTTTGCCAGCACTCCTGAGTACAATGGTTTGTTGTAGCACTGCCTATGGACATGGTCTTGCTGAGCTAAACACACATTCTGGGGGCTGGAGAGATGGCTCAGTGGCTAAGAACATGGACTGTTCTTGCAGACCCAGGTTCGAATCCCAGCACCCACATGGCAGCTAACAACTGTCTGTAACTCCAGTTCCAGGGGATCCGACAGTCTCTTCTGACCTCTGAGGGCATTGCATGGCACGGGTGCATTTACCTACATGAAGGCATAACACTCATACACATAAAATAAAAATAATAAATAAAATATTTTTTAAAAAAAGGTCCCCTCATGCCTCTTTATAATCAATCTACTCTACCCACCCCTCAGTCAGGGGAGTGCCTAGTACCTATTGATCTGATTTGTTCCTATGATATTGCTGTTTCCAAAATGTTATCTAAATGGAATCACAGAACACAGTATGTCTAACTTCCTTAGTATAACACATTTGAGATTTCTCCATGTTGTTAGGTGTATTGGTATTTCATCCCTTCCTACTGCTAAGCAGTACTCCATTTCATGGCAATACACTGACAATCCATTTGATGAGTAGAAGACATCTGAGCTGTTTCCAATCTCTGGTTATTATGAACAAAGCAACAACATTTATCTAGAGGCCTCTACACAAACATATGTTTTCCTTACTCTTGGTTAAATACTATATTTACAGGTAGTACTGCTGAGTCATAAGTGTGTGTTTAACTTGATAAGAAACTGTCAGACTGTTTTCCAAAGTGGCTATCTGCATTTCCCCTAGCAGTATATAAGCTCCATATATGTATAAACAGTATGCTCAGTGGCTCAGGTTTTATGTGTTTTTTGTTGTTGTTTTTTGAGTAGTTTTAATGGGTATATAATAATGTTTTGTTGTCTTTCTGCCTTTTTATTTTTAGAGGATTTTTTTTCGGAGGGGGGATCTTTTTAAGACAGGTTCTCCCAGTGGCCTAGTCTCAATATGCAGACCAGGCTGGTCTCGAACTCACAGAGGTCCATCTGCCTCTGCTTCCCGAGTGCTGGGACTAAAAGCATGTGCCACCACGCCTGGCTCTTTAGATTTTTTTTATAGCATCACAACTGGAATATCTACACTGGGTATGGAAGCACATATCTATAATCCTAGCACTCAGGAGGTTGAGGTAGGAAGATCAAAATTTCCAGGCACAGCCAGGCACAGTGGCATACATCTTTAATCTCTGCACTAGAGAAGCAGAGGCGGGTGGATCTCCGTGTGATTGAGGTCAGTCTGATTAACATAGTGATTTCCAGGCCAGCTGGTACTACAGGGAGACTCTGTCTCAAGAAACAACAAAAAAGTTCCTGGGCTACATACCAATATTATTTACAAAAAACAAACACATGGTACTATTAAATTTCAGTTTCCAGGAACTGGAGAAATGAATGGGTCAGCAGTTAAGAGCACCGGCTGCTCTTGCAGAAGACTCAGGTTTGGTTCCCAGCATTCATATGGTGGCTAAAAACTGTTCAGTTCCAGGGGTTCCATCACCCTCTTGTGGCTCCTGTGGGCATCGCATGCATGTCATGCAAGTACACACATGCAAGCAAAACACTCATACACATAAAAATAAGTCCAATAAACAAATAAATAAACAAACAAACAAATAAATAAATGTATTTCCATTTCCAGAGATGAAGATTTATCTATGTGGTAGAGCATTTGTTGAGTATGTATGAAGTCCTAGGTTTGATTTCCACCACCACGACCACCACCACTAAAACCAAAAAAAAAAAAAAAATCTCCAAAACAATAGATTTTTGCTATTAGGGTCTCCCTAGTCCCAGCCCACCCTAGAAGTCACGATGTGGACCAGGGTGGCCTTGATCTCACAGAGATCCACCTGCCTCTGCTTCTTGAAGGCTGGGATTAAAGGCACACACCATTACACTCAGCATCTTCTTAGGAATTTTGTAAGTATTTATGAAGATGATTCTGTTCCAGTAATCTTTTGGGGCATAACTAACTTGTATTTTTCCATATTTGTTTTGCATGACCTATATATAGTAGGTAAAGCCTAGAAGTATGAGCTTAAAGGGGATGGAGAGACAGTTCAGTGGTTAATAGCATTGGCTACTCTTGCAGAGGACCTGGATTCAGTTCCCAGCACCCACATGGTGGCTAACAACCATCCTTAACTCCAGTTCCAGGGGAATCCAAAGCCCTTTTCTGACCTCCGCGGCATTGCATGACATGGGTGCACTCATATACATGCAGGCGATACACTCATACACACAAAATAAAATAGTTTTTAAAAAAAGAAAATATAATCTTTTAAAAAACTTTTCATAATAAACTATATAATTATTTTGAGAACACTAACACAGAATTCTTAGAAGTTTTTTTTTAACTGTGGCAATAAATATGACTTTTTAAATTTGAAGAACTGAAGAGCTCAATAAAAAAATTTTTTTTTTTTAAAGATCTGGCTTCATTGATAAAGTTTTTTCCATGCAAGCATGAGGCTCTGAATTCAATACCCGGACCCCACATAAAAGCTGGGTGCAGTAGCACACTTGTAATCCCAGTGTTGGGGAGGCAGAGATAGGCAGATCCCTGGGGCTTGCTGGTCAGCCAGCCTTGGTGAGTTCCAGGCTAGTGAGAGACCTTGTCTCAAAAAAAACAAAATGAATAGCTCCTGAGGAATGACATATTCAGGGTTGTCCTCTGGCCTGTACATGCACACGTGTGCATGTACATGTGCACACACACACATACACCATAAATAACCATAAAAATTTTTTTCTTTTTGGTCTTTTTTTTTTTTTTTTTTTTTGGTCTTTTTGAGACAGGGTCTCCCTGTAGCCCCAGCTGTCCTGGAACTCACTATGTAGACCAGGCTGGCCTTGAACCCACAGAGATCCGCCTGCCTCTGCCTCCCGAGTGCTGGGATTAAAGGCATGCACCACCACGCCCAGCTCTTTTTGGTCTTTTTTAAAAAAATATTTTATTTATTATTTTTTTATTTTATGTGTATGAGTATATTGCCTGCATGTATGCCACAGAGGTCAGAAGATGGCTTCATAGTCCCCTGGAACTGGAGTTAAGGACGGTTCACAGCCGCCATGTTGGTGCTGGAAATTGAACCCAGGTCCTCTCCAAGAGCAGTCAGTGCTCTTAAACCCTGAGCCATCTCTTCAGCCCATCTTTTTGGTCTTTTTGAGATAGGCTCTCATGTAGCCCCAGCAGGCCTGGCACTCCCTATGTAGACCAGGCTGGCCTTGAACTCAGAGATCTGCCTGCCTCTGCCTAGGCTTAAAGGTGTGCGCCATCATACCCAGCTTAACCATAAAAATTTATTTAGAGCCAATTCAGGATTCACCATCACTTTAATGTGGTTGAAAAGAGACATGATTTCCTATTTTTCCAATTTCCAAATTATCAGTTTATATAGATTTTTCCCAATGGGGATAAAAACACAGTAAATCCTGACTGAATAAGCAACCCAAAGTAGTCCATAGCCTAATCCCAGCACCTGTGACTATGTTACCTTCAAAAGTAAAAATAATTTTACAGAAGTTATTAAGGCTCTTGAAATAGGGAGATTATTCTGGATTACCAGGATGGGCCCAATACAATCATAAAGATCCTCATAAAATGGAAGATGCTACACTGCTGGCTTTGAAGACGGTAGAGGGACTTATGAGGCAAGGAAGGCAGTTGGCGTTTAAAAGCTAGAAAGGCCAAAAAATAGATTCTACTCCACAGCCATGAAAAGAATATAGCCCTACACATACCTTGATCTTAGAACATCTGCTCTCCAGAGCTGTAGGATTACTTCAAGTCACTACTATTGTTACAACATCAATAGGAAACTACTTCAGGGCTCTGGAATCACAAAAGAAGCTACTAGCATCTGGAATTATCAGTGTTATCAAGCAACGCCTCTGCTCCCTGCCTCCTGCTCCTGAGAGCTATGCAGTTAAAAGTTTTTCTAAGAAAATCACAGATTATAATGTACCTTCAATGGAAACCATCAACTTATGGCCAATATTTTTTCCAAATACAAGAGTCTGAATGTGTATATAAGGTGTGTATCTAATGAATAAGTGTGCATCTATAAACACACCAGTATATGTGCAAAAGGCAGCTAAAAACACAGTGTTAGGCTGGGTATGGTGGCACACGCCTTTAATCCCAGCACTAGGGAGGCAGAGGCAGGCGGATCTTTGTGAGTTCAAGGCCGGCTTGGTCTACATAGTGAGTTCCAAGACAGCTGGGGCTACAGGGAGACCCTGTCTCAAAAAAGACAAAAAAAAAAAAAAACAACCCACAGTGTTATATACTTCCCCAGGAGCAGCAGCTACTGCAGCAGGATGGTTCATAAGTAGCATGGGACCTTTACTTCCTCTGGAAAGGACAAGTGTCATCCCCTGGCCACCAAATAATTAACAAAGGTCTACTCCTAGGAGATTGCAAAGGGGGTGTGGAGTGTGAAAGGAGATGAGAAGACAGATAACATGTAAGTAAACAAGCAAGCAGAGCTGGAAATGGGAATAAGGGTAAGAACTAATCAGGATGGGTAGTCATAGTAATTCCTGCTGATGGGGTGCTTGTTGAGAAGACCAGAGAAAAAGACATCTTGGGTGAAGGAAATGAGATGAGTCCATCTGGGAAACAGAAAAGTAGTGCTGGACCAGCATGGCAGGACTGATGCAGGTGGGGGGCTAATAGCATGAGAGCAAGCAAGGGTGCTGTCCAAG